TGACGACAAATACTCAGCGATGGTATTGGCTGATCGTAGCGCTATGTCGTGAACTGACAGAAGTTGGAAATATGGACCATTGGATTCCGACCCAATAACTCAATGATAACGTGCTAATCAGGGAACCTTAATGTCCTGCTTTCAATTCTTGGAGGGGTGGAATCATGAGTACGCACTACTGAGAAATGCCATACTAGGATGAAACAGATGTCCAGTTCTCCCATGTTTCCAATATTCCTCCAGTTGATGTCAGTCCATGATGAATACCAACTTGAGAAATCACTTAGTCCCCATTAATACCCAAATTAAAATAATTACCATGTTTGAGTATCAGCAAGATTACTACCTCTTACTCACACCTAGATACACCCAGATTCTGAGTCCCAGAGAGGACGAAACACTTCTTTCCAGTTCCCCTAGGAAGCAGATAGTCTGATCAGCACTTAGGATTAATTACATACTTCATAGCTTTCTCCAGAAAGAATAAGCAACAAGAAACTCTGACCTAGCAACGAACTAACCAACAACCTATCACCCAACACATATGCAGAAGAAAGTGAGAATGGATTGGGCACACACTGAAAAGACGAGTGGAACGCAAATGGGAAAAGATGATTTGTGCATCCATGGATGACATGGAGCAGGCCGTGTGACGAAGAAATGAAAGTTTATGGTCAGTGGTGGTGCCAGGTGGAAAAGGCTGCAGAGAAGAGTATGAATGGAGACGTGCTACTGAAGTCCTATGTTCCAATATGAACCCAAAGGATAAATAATAATAATAATAATAATAATAATAATAATAATAATAATAATAATGGCTATCTATTGTTACAACAAACTAATCAGTTGCTCCAGGATATTCTTTGATTACAATAAGTTTCTCAAAACCGTTGGATACGAGCCAAAGAATGCACTGGTTGGAAAGATTTTTGAAAATCATTATTTTACTGTACAACATAGAGGTAGATAAGTCTAAAAGGTGAACGGTGATTTGTATCATCAAACGATTTAATTATTTGAAACAAATCAGCAGTGATTAACAATATCTTAAAAGTGATTACCGAAAATTCTAATCATCGATTTATAAGACTCTGCGATATAATTCAGCCCTCTGCTTTTTCAACTTATTAATTCTTGTCTTTTATCTATTCCTCCCTACTATTCCCCTTTAATGCTTTCAGATCTGCTAAATAAAACGACTAAACTACATTGGACTGGGCTTTGGAAGCCATCAGTAGGGTAAGTGATTTACCACGAGTTCAACCGATGAACACACTAACTGATAGGCAACTAGCTACAGTCATTGTATTAGACATTGAGCATCCACTTTACCCTCACTACTTTCATCATGTATCTTCTCAGATCGGATAAGTAGGCTGAATGGTAACGCGCTGGCTATGGAATCTGAAAATCACGGTTTCGATCCCTGGCGGGGTCGTGGGTGAGCACTGCTGAAGAGTCCCATACTAGTTGGACGAAACAACTGTCCAGTACTCCTAGGTTTCCTTTGTTACTCCAACTGATGTTAGTTTACGATGAATAACAAGTTGAATTACATAAGACTTTTCACAACATATGGTTTAATACAAGAATTCCACTGTGCTTTATCTAGCGCACATCTTATACAAAGAAAAAAGTGTTAGAACAGAACTCACTCCACAAATGTATACAAACACACACACACATTTCATTGCAGTCAATCTACTTTCATGTAACACTTTTATATCACCAATTCATTGATTAGTTACCTATAACTTCGTAATAGTCACATTTATCGAAGTGTAACTGAACAGTCAATTTCATCATAACGATAGTCTTCCCCGTCGAGAAACCAGGTGAAGAGTTTAGTTTTTCTTTACTGCACAAATATACACACGTGTCTGTGTGTGTTTGTGTGTAATTATTCGTTACATCTACAAAAACAACAGACTAATGAATCAGTAGTTTAACTACTTTCATGCAGAAACGATTATCAAAAGTCAAGTTGGGGGTAAGAACTACATATTTTGTTGACTGTAACCCATCCATCGTCACCTCCCCCCCACTACCCTTCGCTTCACACTGATAGACTTACGTAGGTAAATACATCATGATTTGCTTGATCTTTAATTAGGCATTCAAACTGTTGACGTCATTAAAAACGTGTCAATTTCGCATGCTAGTAAAATGTATTTCCTTGATGGTCAACATGGCAACTTTCATAAAATTCCTTACCTTATGTAGAGGAAGAACAAAAGTTTTGGGCTTAAATTCACTTTATTTCGTGTTTTATGATTATCTGCTTGCAACCTAAAGCCTAAATTATGCAGATTTTTTGCCTAATGTTTTGCTTATAACCTTAAAATAACTCATCATTGCTATTTTCATACGACTGCTCACTTTTGTTTCCTACTACTCCGAAAGCTCAACTCTCATTGGTTGTTAACTCCATTAACCTAAATGTTAGTTTAGTTTTATCAAGGTCATTTAGAACTGTATATATTCAGTATCGCTGTCAACAATTTTCGACTGTTATTGAGACAGTAAAAGCTCACCGTCAGTGTTCCGTCTTCTCTTGTTGTCTTCACTTGTCTGTTGGTTGACGTTCTAGTAAGCGTCTAGAGCGCATTAGGTTCATATTACCCGTAGACTGTTAGGTCGTACTACCGACCGTAAAAGCTTGATTCAGTTTGACAGAAAATTTACTCATTGGCTTGAAGAAAAGATAGCATTGATGTTGCGCAATCTAAGTTACACACAAATTGAGTGAATAGATGCATACAAGAACCAAAATAATTAGACTGTCTGTATGTATATGAGTCAGTGAATACCCTAGCATATAAGTTAGATAAAAAACGGGGAAGACATACAGTTGGGGTTGCTGGTTCGAATCTTTCCACAGCCCCTGTATCAATATTGAGAAAGGTTATATAAGGTTAGAGAACTTATGCTAGCCAGTAAACGATAAAGGTTTATGAATCGATAATGGTGATTTCTTTGGGTAGTGATATAAAAATGATGACGGTGTCGTGGGTGTGGACGGCTGAGGAGTCCTATACCGGAGCAAAATAGCGAAGTCTAAGCGAATAAAACGTGTATCAGGAACCCAACACATTCAAGGGCACATGCTTAGTAATTACTTTAACCACCTTCTAGATATTAACTTCATGGTCATCATCATTGAGGCAACGATCGATGGCGTTTTTGAAGACTTTTACATCTATCATTTTGCAAATTTACTTGAATATGCTTAGACGTGCAATTTCAACGACTTCTTTCTGTTTGTTCAGTGTCTATGTGCTTTGACATTTACACGTGAGTTGTTATGAGAGGTTAGAGATAACCTGATAAAGGGCTTGTCGAAATAAGATTGTCTCAGTGAATAGCTGATTTGGCAACGAGTAATTAACCTGGCAGTTGGATAGGTCTTGTTCAAGGTAGCACTTGTTCTGTGAATCCTTTGCTTAAAGATATCATCATCCTTCTCGACTATACCACACTCCTCATTCTCACGATGTAACATGAATGATCGTAGTATAATTTTCTTTAGTTGAGTAACTTGTCGAAAATTGATTGTTGATTTCATGGAAGTATCGATCGTGAATTGGTATTACCTGAAATAAAGACTGAATTCTGTTTACTACTAATCATCTTATTAGAGTCTATCAATCAAGACTTGGCGAGTTCACTTCCCATGTTCTGCTAAACTGGCTAACATCGATTGGCTAGTTTAACTCATGTGCTTCACCTCACATACATTGTAAAGCATGTGTTACATTAAATGATTTTGATTTTAGGTTGGCATTCCTCATACACTGATACCATTTACATCATGGGAGCACTGGACAACTGGTGTCAATCTATGAAGAAAGGATAACAAGTTCCTCATAGTTTCAAATACGCTGCGCTGATGAGTGTCAACGATGATGAAACATAGGTCTTACAAGACTATATGCTCTTTGACTTCAAACGTCTTACCTCAAAGTACTGTCCGTGATCAAATTGATCAAACTGAAAACTTGATCGGCAGACTAGGATCAGTACCGAGTGATGATGTCCATATAGCTTCGTTGGTTACCCACCTGACCTCACTTTGATCGATTTCTTTTATCGCCGCGTATGGCCAGTTGCTGTTGATGAGGTGTTGTAAATGTAAGATGACAGACTATTAGTCTTGTCTTGACTGATTATAACATCTCTTTCAAGTCTTTTATACAATAACATTCTTCAGTGTGAATTCCCTGTCACATACTATGAAGAATGTGACCTCATTAGTCAAACTGTATACTATTTCCACATGAATTCATCTACTCGCTTACAGTTAAGCAAAAAGTTTGAATTTTTGATGACCAGTTTCGCTTCTTCTGAAGATTAGACTGTCTCACTACCTGCTCACTACAACATCCTACCGACACGTAACCGTCTATAGTCTACAGAATTTAAGACTTCAGTTGTGCAGTGGCTTGTGAGAGTAAGGTGGAACAAGTTGGCAACCAGTGACACAATGTTCGCAGGTTGGCCGGTAGACCTAGTTGTTTCGGACTTCACTCTTGAGTAAGTTATTCTGCAGAGTTAGAGACAAGCAGAGCAGCTGGCCCATACCCCTCTACGAGTGCTGGTAGCTGCTGAATCCTGAATACAACGAAACACGTGTTGTGATTATTACTGCTAACCGTCATCAAATGAATAACTTCCATTTGTCAACTGGAATCGATTCAATAAAAGTTGACCTAATACGTGGATTCCTTCTATCAGCTTGTATTCTACACGACAGCTCCTCAGGATAATAAACAGCTGACAATCCAAACAGTATGTTGAGTTTTCACCGAAAGAATAATGCTTGTATACGTATACGTTTATGCGCAGATTTACCTACCAATCTATTTGCCTACCGCCCACGCTCATTTGTTCATTGGTTACTTGTGATTGGATTAGCACAAATCTAACTGACCAATCGACAGATTCTCACGATAACATGTTACTGAACAAATTGAATTCACTAGATAATTCATTGGTCAAAACTTCGCTATCATGATTTGTCATTATAGTAGTGTAATCCATCTCTTTCTGGTGATTTACACCCAAAGACTGATGGGATTTATCACGACTAGTCGGTTTCTGGTAGGCGTTGAAAAATAAGAGAAGAATTTTAGTATTCTACAGACACACCTTCACTGGCACACACAGACATACACATGAAGACAACAAATTAAACAGTTCGCTCGTCATCATCACCATTATTATAATTTATATGATTGCTACAATCACGTTTTAGTAATTTCATAATGTCACATGGAAATCTATCGGCTTTTATACTGCAAAGAATTGTAAATTGATTTAATCCATAAGATATCTGCGCACATTAGGAGAGAGAGAGAGAGGCAGTAAACGAACAAGAAAGTGAGCATACTTCTATGCGTGTGTCTGTTCTTTAGCAGTTTATCTGCCTTTAATTGTGTCTATTGTGTGTAGGCTATTTGAGCACAGAAACATGAGAGATACTGACTGAATACAACCACAACAACAGTACACAAAATAACTCCAGTCTGTCTTCTCATCATATACAAGAGAAAGCCAATTCCTTTACAGTTGTCGGTTGAATTTAGTGTATGAGCACAATTATATAGTATATGTGAAAAACCAGATAAACCAGCAGACAGGCATACAGGCTGCACGTGAACACACTCACCAACTTATTCAAACAACTAACAAAGCCTGACACACACACACACACACAAGCATAATTACTAACTTATATTGCATGACATAGAATGACCTAATTTTAAAACGGAAATCATTATCGTTATAAAGGAGGTGTCTACTGCCAATCGAAGAATTTGTCTTGCACACTTATCAGATATCCTGTGTTCATCTTAACCATCCATCTAGTCCTCATCTGTCTTACACTTTTCTATGGAGTCAACTGAAGTCAACTCCGCCGCCCAACCAGATATCAGTGAGGTGACGAATAGTACTACTACCACTACTACTAAAACCAATAGTAGTAATAGTATCATTGCTGACACGGTAAATGAGAACGAAGATGTTGTTCAAAAGGATGTTGTCAACACTGTGAAACAGACGATTGACACAAATTCAGATGTTTCTAATCCCTCAGAGACAACAACCATTTCCTATGAAAATAATGAACTAAAATCGATTTCAATCGTCAGAGAGATTTCACCACAAAAGGAGTATCATGTAGCAAGTACAACTGAAGCAACACCGTCAAGTGAAGCCGTCTTAACAAATGAAGATAATATAAATTATACACCTAAATCTGAAGCTACGCCAATCGATATAGAGATTTCTAAGGATATGGTTGATGAGACACTGCTGAAAATAGTCGAAACACCAATTGAAATACGCAAAAAGATGGCCATCAAAGTAGTCGATGAACAGATACAATCACGTGGATCAGAGATGGTTGAAGAAATGAAGACAAAGGAGATTTCTTCATCTACTTCTCCATCATCAACTAAAAAACAAATAAAGTTGTCCTTATCTCTATCACCGGACACTTCAAGCCAAGAGGTGGTCAATACACTCAATGAATTGTCAACTACTACATCAACAGGTCAATCAATAGACGGTATAACCGAACCAATGATCACAGAGACTATTGTAAAACGACACAATAAACAACAAGCAGATAATCCTAGTTCAGAGTCATTCAATAGTGAACTACAAACAATCGATACAACTTATGTTAAACATCCACAAAGACCACCACCACCGAAATTGAATTCAGTGAAAAAAACTCAAACTTCGCTAAACTCCTCTCATTCATCATATAATGATACTAATGAAGTTATGACAAATGGTATATCAACAGATTCTCACTATAAACGTCCATCATTCAAGTCGAATTTAAAGCATGCATTCAGTAATCTAAGGAAAAGCTTCAAGCGTAAAAATAAATCATCTCATCAGAGTTATAATGGTTCAAGCCAACAACCAACACATAAAAACAATCATTACATCGATTATAATGATAATCATAATAATGGTAATCATCAACAGTACAATGATGCTCATTATTTAAGTCATCAGGATTATCAATCACCTGAAGAAATTCCAGAATCACACTCAAATGTTCAATCACTTGATCCAGTAAGTTTATTTTTCAAATGTGAATTATGTAATGCTTAGATAATGTCTACTGTTTTCTATTTATTATGAGTTTCGTCTCCACCTGAACTCTTCAGTAGTAATTATGAAGACAACTGACTCAGTTATCGCCTAGTCGTGCAACTATAGCTCATTGACTTTGAATTGATAGGTCATCGATTAGAAAGCCACCCTACTTACTGAGGTCTAGGATGTCAAGGGAGGGGCGGGGGGAGCCAGTTAGTACTATTAGCCCACTCATACAAAAAGTTTGGCTCATTGCCTAGTCTTCACATTCTCATCGTCCAGATTTATTACAATGTCATCAAACCAATTTCGACGTCTGATTTTTATAGTCCTGTCACCTCAATTTCTTAACAGTAAAACTTTCCATTATCACTGGTATCCGTGTTGCGTCATTCCGATTTCACATGTGTAGGGTGTCGGATGATTCGACGAACAAAGATTCATTTATTAATCTTACCCACTCTCTTTTTCTCCGCTTAATAATATTGCACTAAAGTACAGTGATTTCATCCCTCTGACTGTATTGTATGGTTCTGTGGCAATGCATTCACTGCAACAGACACGTGTTTTTCTACATTAGTAATGGTATTCGGGTCTGTCATTCTATATTTAGCTAAATTCCTATATTCCACTAATCTAACTGACATCGACAGGCTAGTTTCATGGAATTGGATAGATTCGATCATTTTTCTGGATTGGTTCTATTCGATGCTTAAGCCAGCCGACAAAGCTTGTCTCCCAGTGAGTTTGTGTGTTTGAATTCCACACTAATTCCAGTTTTGTTCAGGATCCTACATAGAGTTTCTGATACACCTTCCTCATTGGGTCACACAGTCGAGTCTGTGAACTCCTTTCTACTCGTGTTGTCGTTATGAATTCGTTTCTTATGTGTTCGTACGAGTTTCGTAATAAACTGAGGAGGAATAATTAATGTTTCTCTTATGTGTTTCACTTCCTTGTTTAGGTGTTTGCATTGACTGGTCAGTTTTCTAGCTCTATCATTTAGACATTTGACTAGACCTGGTTTAACTGACTGATGTTGGGTGAGATGGCTTGAAGTTCAGATGCCTGTCGAAATGTGTCGTTTATCTGCAGACGGTGGTTTGAATACCACCATCTGTCCTTCGTCTTACTCTGCAATCCAACATAGGTAATTCTCCTTCTTCATATTCTGCCTCCTTACTCAACTGGATTGCGGCTACAACGGAGTTTATATGTGTGAGGAAATTGTCGATATGTTGTGATTTCAACAGAGTAAATTTGTCGTTCACATGTCTCCACTATACCTTAAGTGTAGAATTTATTTTATCTGGATTACTTTCAATGGAACACTTCAACATCAAACGAGTGGCTTCCTAACAGTACAGAGTTGAAGAAGCGTGCAAGTGTCACGTGAATACAAATGAAATTCTTCCTGAAATTCGTGGTCAAATGTTAATTCATATAGAAATACGAATTGCATCATTACTGACTAAGTTTGTGAAGCTTAAGCAATTCGAGTTAGTCAACTCGGTAACCGCCTACAAGGACCTGTGTAAGGGAAGACAAATCGACTGGATGTTCATGGCATTAAGAAGACACTGATTAATAACACCACAAGATTAGTGGGAGGAGAATGAACTTATCATCAATTTGTACAACATCAATCAGGTTTGTCGTTCGCTACTTCATAATGCTTCTAATCCTCTTGAGTTAAACATCCAGAGATGAATTGATGACTCTGCTGTCAGGAAAGCTGATTTCACTGAAGAATAAGTTTGCAACTTGGTTCAGGTTGTCATCGCATAAAAACTACTAATGCTCTAGACAGTATATTTGATGAAAATCAACCTAGGAAGGATATAGAAGTGCAGTGGTCATCTTGACACATGGACTAGTGAAAGTTGTCAAGAGGATAATGTGTGTATAATCCCTCTGAGAACCAAATATCTACGAAGATTAAACTGCAGTTTCTCGGTAGTTCTGATGCTACAGGTTGTAAATTTCCTTCGTTGATTGGTTACTACTTGCTTATGGGCTCCTGCGATAATGCCTTGATATTGCCAGTATTTTCCACTAATCTAACTGACATCGACAGGCTAGATTCGATTATTTTTCTGGATTGGTTCTATTCGATGCTTAAGCCAGCCGACAAAGCTTGTCTCCCAGTGAGTTTGTGTGTTTGAATTCCACACTAATTCCAGTTTTGTTCAGGATCCTACATAGAGTTTCTGATACACCTTCCTCATTGGGTCACACAGTCGAGTCTGTGAACTCCTTTCTACTCGTGTTGTCGTTATGAATTCGTTTCTTATGTGTTCGTACGAGTTTCGTAATAAACTGAGGAGGAATAATTAATGTTTCTCTTATGTGTTTCACTTCCTTGTTTAGGTGTTTGCATTGACTGGTCAGTTTTCTAGCTCTATCATTTAGACATTTGACTAGACCTGGTTTAACTGACTGATGTTGGGTGAGATGGCTTGAAGTTCAGATGCCTGTCGAAATGTGTCGTTTATCTGCAGACGGTGGTTTGAATACCACCATCTGTCCTTCGTCTTACTCTGCAATCCAACATAGGTAATTCTCCTTCTTCATATTCTGCCTCCTTACTCAACTGGATTGCGGCTACAACGGAGTTTATATGTGTGAGGAAATTGTCGATATGTTGTGATTTCAACAGAGTAAATTTGTCGTTCACATGTCTCCACTATACCTTAAGTGTAGAATTTATTTTATCTGGATTACTTTCAATGGAACACTTCAACATCAAACGAGTGGCTTCCTAACAGTACAGAGTTGAAGAAGCGTGCAAGTGTCACGTGAATACAAATGAAATTCTTCCTGAAATTCGTGGTCAAATGTTAATTCATATAGAAATACGAATTGCATCATTACTGACTAAGTTTGTGAAGCTTAAGCAATTCGAGTTAGTCAACTCGGTAACCGCCTACAAGGACCTGTGTAGGGAAGACAAATCGACTGGATGTTCATGGCATTAAGAAGACACTGATTAATAACACCACAAGATTAGTGGGAGGAGAATGAACTTATCATCAATTTGTACAACATCAATCAGGTTTGTCGTTCGCTACTTCATAATGCTTCTAATCCTCTTGAGTTAAACATCAGAGATGAATTGATGACTCTGCTGTCAGGAAAGCTGATTTCACTGAAGAATAAGTTTGCAACTTGGTTCAGGTTGTCATCGCATAAAAACTACTAATGCTCTAGACAGTACATTTGGTGAAAATCAACCTAGGAAGGATATAGAAGTGCAGTGGTCATCTTGACACATGGACTAGTGAAAGTTGTCAAGAGGATAATGTGTGTATAACCCCTCTGAGAACCAAATGTCTACGAAGATTAAACTGCAGTTTCTCGGTAGTTCTGATGCTACAGGTTGTAAATTTCCTTCGTTGATTGGTTACTACTTGCTTATGGGCTCCTGCGATAATGCCTTGATATTGCCAGTATTTTCAGCTTTTCCTATTTTTGATCGATACTAGCTTGTAGTGGAATTCAGAACGGGCGTTTCATCCTGTTTGAATCTTGTCAGCTGGATGTATTCTGTCTCATAGCAAGTGATGTTTCGCCTTCTAGATAGATAACGGTCTGGTGTTTGAAGCCCACTACTTGTGTATAAATGTGACTGTCCAGCCTTGTGAATCATAATGTTGAAAGAAGATTGTTTTTGTCGAAGTCTTTCCTCTCCTGCATAGGCCTTGTATGCTCAAGGCATCAGCAAACCTCTATAGCAACCTTGAATTTACCACACCCTGATATTTAGGTTCTACTCGTCAGGCAAGTGTGGTTTCGCGAAATATCATCCACTGTCTGAGGTCACATCATAAAACCTTCATTGTAAGTTGCAGCCCACCAGTCTGAGAGCATAAAATTGGTATCCTCGAAAAGAGATCTTGAGTACTACTCACTTCTGAAGTAACTGATGACTGTTCCACGGCATACACTCCAACATTTATATGAGTACAAGTGATTTCAGTTGTGTATCAGTTATGAATTTCGAAGTGGTTTGCATGCCGAATCTCGAACCAGGGTTTGTTAGATCTCATTAAGTGGACTGGATTGCACCTACAACTGGGTTCATATATGTGTGAAGAAACTGTTGACATGTTCCGATTTCAACACGGTACACATGTCGTCCATGTATTGCCACGATTTCTTCGGATTCTAATGAGAAGTCGTGACTGATGAGGCACATCAAATCGGACATGAAGACAGACACTCAGCGACGGCATGGAATAAAGGTCACGCTGTATCATCAACTCACAGAAGTAGGAAATATGGATTACTGGATTTGATCTTTGGTGAGATCATGGGTGTGCACTGCTGTGGAGTTCCATGCTGGGGAGAGATAGCTGCCCTTTGTTTCCAGGTTCCTAAGGGGTTTTCCAAGTGATTTCAATCCGTGATATGACTACTAATCTAAGGCTGCCATCACCACCAAACTGTTTAGACTATTCCACTGACAGGAGTTCACTCATCGTAGTGTAATTGAATCTGACTAGCTACTTTGACGAATCATCTCAGATATTAATGAACAAAAGAAATGGCTGTCCCTTGCCTTATTCCCTCTGAGCGACTTCCCAATAGTGAATACTTGTAAGTATCATTTCCATTTGTAACCGCCTACTTTCCTCATCTCCAGTTTCCTGGAAGTCTTATGACCATCGGAGGTAAACTTATACTCTTAAATGTAAATGAGTGACTTGCACTATTTTGAACTTGTTTTAAGGTCCTACATAGTTTGAGCAACTTGGAATTATTCTTCAGAAGTCTCATGAATATCTCCTTCCCTTTATCTTGGATGCGCAATGTAAACTCTGTAATGTGGAATGATAAAAGTGACTTTTCGTTTCAAGTCAAGGAATATTCTACTACTTCTGTGATGTATTACTCTGAAGACATGATCTAGAATTGATAATATTGGCAACAGATGAATAGACAGATTGTATTTGTATTGATTGGTCACAGGAGTG